GTGCTGTCTACCCAGTGGCGTAGCGGACGGCCCCGTCATAACCTCTCCTTGCTGGGGTGCGTCAAAAGACGACAATCTTGTATCAACAATAGCCAGAGATATTGTCAAAAACATCAATTATTGGCAATATTAAGAGGATTTGGCATTTCCAATTAATGTAGGCCTCTTACATTCTTATTTTTATTAGGCCTATTATTATTATGAAGTTACTTTTATTATTAAATTAAAATTACAATTAATTTGTCCCGCAATAATTACCGCATAACTGACGCGCTGCGAGGATAACAAAAGATATTTAGCCTACTCCTCAATTAAAATGTTTTTAAAAACGGTCTTTTAAGGTCTACAATGAATTATATGCCTATAAATAAAACATTAACACTGCAGTCATTGATAAAAATCAATGAAATAAAAAGCTTTTATTCCAAGCACCGCTTTTAAAAAACAACCTGTTTAACATGAAATACGTTTCTTCTCATTTTTTTTCACTATGTACAGGCCACAAGAGAAATATTAAGGGCATAAACGAAAATAGTTATCAGCATATGTTGAAGTAGATTCGTCTCTGAGAGAGAATGCGGAGTCAGATGCCGAAAGCGCCATCAGTCCGTTTTTACTTTCACTTTCTGCATATAGTGAATTGACTGGGATTAAGACTTTCACCAGCATAACTCTTGCGCAAAGTTTGCACGTTGCCTGTGTGATATCCATTGGCTCGCCTTCATAAAACAGAAATATTTTGTTTCTATTTCATTGCGACATAACCAATTAGCCCCGTACCGAACATACCGAACAGAACCGTCATACCATATATATATAATGTTCAGTAGTACCCTTGGTTTTTGACCTCGGATGTGTCAGAATGCAAATCATATTTAACATAAAATCAATGAATAAACAAAGTGAAATGTATATACATAAATATTACTACAGAATCATACTAAAACATACTACAGAAGCAATTTGGAAGTTGGAAGTATCATCTTCATGTTTTTGTAAATTAGTAGTCAATTATGGAGAAGGCAAAACAAAATTAGTACAAAGTCATCCACACAGGACAAATGATATGTATACAGTATGTAATGTAATGATATGTAATTAATGCTGAATTTTTTTTTTATAAATTGATAACCCAACAATTAATTTTGTAGTTAATGAAAAGAGAAGTGCTCACCAGTGTTTTGTTGTAACTTGACTCAAGCTGATCACCTCATCCAAGATCTCATTTTTGGCCTTCTCATACAGCTCGTTCTATGAATGAGGAGCAGTATAACATACACAGTATAAAACATATAAAACATGTCACAAGAACATATACAGTAGATTACAGGATTTTTAAAGTAATAAATAACTAATATTAGAAATAAATTATTAATGTTGTTTTGATTATTTACCATACATAATTAGATTACTAGAATGCTGACATTTAACAAGGAGTCCTAGACTTAAAGATCTAGAATAGTTTAATCAGGAGCCAGTTCTTACCCTGTCCAGCTCTCGTAAGCGAGGATAGTTGTTTTTCCACTCAGTCTCCAGGTTAAATCGGGATGCTGGTCAAGAGGGAACATGAAGAAAAGTTCAATTTAGATTATTTTCATTAATATCCATAGATTTTCTTTTAAGGATTACAAAGGATACACCATTTAGATTTTTTTTTTTTAAACTAAGGATAGTCCACCCAAAAAATTACAATTCTGTCATTTACTCACCCTCATGTCAAACCTGTATAGAAACAAAAGACATTTTAAAGAATTTTGGAAACCAACCCGTTTCGGTTCCCATTGACGTCCATAGTATTTTCTGACCAAGCAACAGAAATCAAAGGGGATGAAAACTCTTTTGTTACATTCTTCAAAAGATTTTCTGTTACACAGGATAAAGAAAGCCATACAGGTTTGGAAGGACTTGAGGACTTGAGGGTGAGTAAATGATGACAGAATTTAAATTTTGGAGTGTACTATCCATTTAATATACTAATTTTATAAACCATAACTTAAATAAGGTCACAACTGTGAAATTTCAGTTCCTCTAACAAACAAGTAAAAAAGTAAAAAACTTCATTAAGAAAACTGCAGTAAGTAGGTCAGATGTAGTTTAAACAAAATCATTAGTAACTTGGCTATTAATCTCATACTTAAAAAAATAAAAAGATTTTCTATAAAACAATGTGTTCAAAGTTTGCATTGCCACCTATAATAATAGTGAACTTAAGACTAAAACTTTTCAGTGACAGCATCCCTGTTCCTCAGACACTTCCCATCTCCCTCTGTCTAATTCCCCATACAGGGACACCAGACAGACTGCGCTGTGGCCATGATCAATGCACCTGGAGCCAGGCGTGCACTGTATCAGCAACCCCACGCTCCCCAGGGGCCCTGCGTCCCCAGCATACACACGGGCCGGGTGCCTCGCTCACACAATAGAGATGACGCTAATTGCTCTGGTTATCGGGCCGGCCCCAGTGCAGCCGTGGAGATCGATAGCCCACACAAAGGTTTGAGAAGCGTCCCAGGTCAGGCAATAAATCTAGAGGCAGAGCGTTAGCAGGGGTGGCCTGTTAATTGGCAGCGTGGAGGACTACAGCGTGCCCTGTGCAGAACGTCTGAGCTGAGGTGAGGTGTGACGGGAATCAGCACACACAGAACAGGGAAACGGCTCTGCTCAGGTGGGTTTCAGAGTTAAGTGGCTGTCGAGCTGTTGGTTTGGATTCTATTAAGGTTTATTTACTAGGTCTCCTGAGAGCTGATGTGCACTCTGCTTCTCAAAATGCCCTTGAAAATCAGCATCTTATTAGGGGATAAAAATAGCATTGATCAAGTTAAAGGCCTAAAAGCACAGTCCATGTGCCTTTTTTATTTTTACTTATGAGTTTTCAGATACAGTATGTTGTAAAGCAGTAGTTATCAACCTTTTTGACTCCAAGGCTTCTCATTGTCCACAAAAACAATTAAAGGCCCCATGACTTTTTTCCAGTTGCTTGTGAATTACTGAATAAGGATGGACCCATTTCACAGATTATGACAATGTACATCTATTAGCATCATAAATCCAGCAAAGTTTTTCACATTTTCATTGTTTAAAAATTGTATGTACATTTATTACACTATACTTTGTTTACATTTAGTCATTTAGCAGACACTTATATCCAAAGCGACTTACAAATGAGGTAAATAGAAGCATGTAATTCTTACATTACCTTAGCAAATTTAACATGTTTCTTTCTTCTGACCACCGTAAATAATCTCTCAATATTTTTTCCTCTTTTGGAAAGACACAGAAAAACTATCTTAGATTTTTCTTTTGCTTCTAGAGCAAATGGAAATGCAAAAAAATTAAATTAAATAAAATACCGTTTTGTACAATATGTTTTGTGAGTTTTCTAGGGTCCCCCAATTGGGCCCTCGGTTCCCTAGTTGCAAACCACTGTCCTAAAGGTTTGACAGATAAGGTGGATGGCAAATATTTCTTGAAAACACGAAACACATACATTCAGTCTGTTCCTAGCAAAGGGATATCATATGGCTTTAGATGATTTTAGGGGAAGAAGAATTATGATGCTTTAAATTTTTTTTTTTTTTTTTATAATACCACTCGTTTATTATTCTACTTGTATGGAAAAACATAGCCTGGACATTCTGTAAATTTTTTTCTTTTGTGGTCCACAGGGTGGGGGGTGTAAATAAATAAGGTTTGGATCAACATGTGGGTGAGTAGACAGAAAGTACATTTTTGAGTGAACGATCCCTCTAAGATCTGTTAGATGGTGTCATCTTACCTTTGAAGGCATCTGCTTGTTGTTCTACTGACTCCCTGACCATCTTCCAGAAGCAGTCTGACACAGCAAGACTCAGGTTCTTTGTGGTCACCTGATGAGCTTTCAACATGCCATCCCTTTAGCAGGTTGGGAAAATATTGTACAATCAAAATATGTGACAGATTATAGAACAGGTGAGTTAGAAATATGCATTTGACTCCTACCTCAGCAGTCTTGAGCTCTGAAAGAAGTCCTCCTCATAGTCCTTGATGGAGTCTATGCTTTCATTAGAACTGCCTACAAAAGAATCATGGGATTGAATGATTTCAAGTGCACCAAATTTCAAATGTAAATGGTTTCTAGAAAGATCTCATGCTTACCTTTGCCGGTTACTACAGCAAAGTAGCCCAAAGCCTTCATTGGGAATAACTTGCCTTCAACTATTTGCTGGATCTACAAATGGGGGGAAAATGTATAATTTGAAGCAAATAACATGAAGTAAACGAAGTAAAACATTCCAATGAAAGTCATCATCTGTACATAACTGCAGTCAATATTGCTTGTTTAGTGTCAGAGGACGCAAAATGCCTCCCTCTAGTGGCTAAAACAGGAAGTAACACATTATCAAGAGTTTATGTAGTGAAATATCTAAAGGTCTTACTCTGCTTGGACTAGCTAGGTTCTTTTCTGCCAGGTCAACCTTGGTAAGAACAAAGATGGTCCTTTTGCCCTGAGGGTCCATCTGACTGACCAGATCAGTGACTATACTACGCTCTGCATCTACTGAGCCATCTGAAAGAGAGAAACAAACCGAGAGAGAAATATTAACAGAGTTGGCTAAAGAGAACGCTAGTATTTTATGACAAACATTTTAATGGAAGAAAACTCACCCTGAATGCAGAGGATGATGGCATTTGGATTCTGCATGTAGGCTTTACTAATGCTAAAAATGGTTTCTTTTGTGTCAGCAGCCATGCCGGCTGTCACAGTCTGTATACAAATGAAACCGTCAGTGACATCAAACATGTTCTGCATAGATGTATATGGTTATATTATGTGTAAAATTGTATGAAATGTGCACAAAACTTACACTGATGACACCCGGCAAGTCAACGAGCACCATTCTCTGAATTCCTGGACCCTTTACGCTTAAAGAGATGGTCTAACACAGAATAAAAACACATGAATCATGAATATAAAAGTATTCGGCCAGATTCAAGTGTAAATGTTTTCACAAAAGCAGTGAAGGAAGAAGGGTCTCACCTCAGGACTGACTGTCTGACCTTCCTTCAAACTCTTCCTCATCCTGAGTTCGATCTCGTGCCTCAATGCTGCAAGCTAGAAACAAAAAGAAAAATAACATCGTCTCAGTGACCTGACAGTCAAATATAGAGACTGACAAATTTGTGCTACATAATTTGAGTTAAGAATAGGGGTGCTCCAATCAGGATTTTTGAGGCCGATCACCGATCACAGAAAGCAGTATCTGCCGATACCGATATTTTAAAGCCTTCTTTTTATCATGTAGAATTATTTATAGTGATGATCCAATCAAGATTTTTAGACATTTATTCAGGGCCTGAATTTAATTTTTGAAAATGAATTCCCCTCTTAGGTGACTCTTGTGAGAGAGGATTTTTTTTATTTGAGTGGTGGAGGGGGCATTTTTTAGACATTTTTCAAAAATATATACAGTATTTATCTCATCTAAATGTTTGATCATGCACTGCATTTTTGTTTTGACAATTGTGCAATTGTTGCACAACAGCTTGCATACAGCACAAGCCTGATTTTGTGAGCTGTATGTGAGGCGGTCTTTTACACCAGGTTCACACATATCCCGTTTGCAGTGCGTATGCAGTCCATGTGCGGTACATAAGCGGTGCAGAAGCAGCACTGACTGTGCTTTCACACAGGAGTCTGCTCCTGATCCGTGGCTGTTTACTACAAACACATTTATCCATTATTTTGATTTAAAATCCAAACATTGTTACTTAAAATGCTTTTTCAGCATTGTGATTCTTTTTTACACAGTACAGTAATACAATCTTTCATAGACGTGTTTAAACGCAATAAATATAAGCAACACATTATTCAATGCTTTTTACTTTTGCAATTACTTCAAGATTTATATATTAAGTTGCTCAAGCAAGTGGCAAAACATTTAAACTACTTTTCTTACATTATCACAAACATTCTTAATGAAAACTTACCACTGACAGAAACAGTCAGCTCTACTGCCTTAGAACGCTTTAATCCGTTAACATGAGCGTGGAAAAAATATGCACCGCATACGCACTGCAAACAGAGTAATGTAAAACCTGGCATTATGTGTGTGCGCTGCGAGTGTGCATAAGCGCAGTCTCCAGGAGAGAGCAGGAGTGCAGAATGGAATGGTTAAACACTGGCAAGAATTAAAAAGAAATGCAATTTATAAACATTAGTGACGATGCGACACTGCCTCAACTGTGCAAGTGACAATTCATGTGTCAACTGTGCAGCTTGCAGCTCGCTTATAGTGCAGACGCGATGTGATTTGAATCCATTTGCACATTTTGAGAGAGAAAGAGAGAGCGCGCTCAGAGATTCACTCACGCTGTTTGTGAAATTATGTCTCACAGAAAGTTGTCAAATTACTTTATAGGTTATTTAATGAAGAAATATGAATTGTACCTCACCTTCAGCATTATAATTATTTTACCCGCGCCGGACAGAGATTGAGACGGTGCCACTGCATGTCGTGCCAACTGCCAAACCTCTCACAGCAGGCGCGTCATCAGCTTGAGATCGTTTTTTGACCGCCGATCAAACATCCCAAAGCAATTATCGGCCGATAGTGATCGGTAGTTGATCAATCGGAGCACCCCTAGTTAAGAAACTTACATCCTCCTCTTTCCCAAGGTCGAACTCACGAGTGCTGTCTTTGAACATTGCTACATGGTGAGGGCCTTCACTCAATGTCACCTACAGGTAAACACATCACAATTATTATAATATTTACTGCATAATTATTGTTCATGTGTTGTTTAACCACTATATGAGTGTAGTTTGTTTAATTCACCTTGACAGGAGATCTGGTCATCATTTCTCCAGAGCCTCTGGGGAAGATCCTAGCTTGAGCTATCATCTCCAACACACTGGTCTTTCCTGCACTCTGGTCTCCAACTACCACCACCTAGTGAAGAGAAGACAGAAGCTGGTTATGTCTGAACCATTAAGAGGTGTTCCATATAACCACATAGCAGGGAAACAATTAGTTTAGTTTATTCAGTTTAGTTTATTTCAAAGATATATATAATAAAATGCAGTGAAGGAAGAGGAAAAAAAACACATGGGCTTATTTAAAGCATCCACCGAAACAACATTAAACTTTCACAAAAGTATATTTAAAAAAAATGAAAATAACAGAAATGGAAAAGAAAAATAATACTGACTCTTGGTAGATGATCTTGAGTATTGTAGTTGGAATCATAATCTGAGAGAATGTCCAGGACCTCAGAGTACATATCAATCAAAGATTTCTGCACAGGATCAAAAACAGGAGAAATGCATCAATAAACCCCTGTGATCTGTTCTTTATGTACAGCAATGAAAAAGCCAACCATTCTTAAAAAAATTAAAAAATAAATAAATAAAAGTTGTTTATTGCATGTATCACTTATATGCATAATTGAAGAATGTTAAAATCTGACCTTGACTTTTCTTTGGTGAATACCCTTGTCATCTTTCTGCAACACCACTTTCCTCAGTTCCTTATTCTCCTTTTCCAGACGCTCCAGCATCCGTTGGTACTTTAACTGCATAAGCATGAGGGAAATAGAGGATCAAATGTATATAAATCGATCATGATGAAAAGGCTACAAGAATTAGTACGAAAAAACCTTGACAGAAACAGTCAGCTCTACTGCCTTTTCTTTTGCATTTAAATCTTTATTACATAAGTTCATAAAGAACTTTGCTTTCCTACCTCTCTCTCTGCACCGCCAGAGACGCACCGCCTGGAGAACACACTGCCACACCGCAACCGTGTGCAGTGTGAACGCTTTAATCCGTTAACATGAGCGTGGAAAAAATATGCACCGCATACGCACTGCAAACGGAGTAATGTAAAACCTGGCGTTATGCGTGTGCGCTGCAAGTGTGCATGAGCGCACAGTCTCCAGGAGAGCAGGAGTGCTGAATGGAATGGTTAAACACTGGCAAGAATTAAAAAGAAATGCAATTTATAAACATTAGTGACGATGCGACACTGCCTCAATTGTGCAATTGACATATACTGTATATAAATGTATATAAATCGATCATGATGAAAAGGCTACAAGGTTTAGTACGACAAAACCAAGGCTTAAAATCAATGACACATAACTGTTAATACCTGTGTTCGAAGAAGTTCTTCCTGAAGCTGGTCAACTTTTTCTTTATCAGATGACTGAAAGCACAAGAAACAATGTAGCAGACTGTGACCATGTTATTTCTTTCAGGACAGCTGATGATCTTCCTAATATATCCCCCTGTAAGAGCCATTGCACAAACAATCCACATCTCGTGCACTGAGTTCCAGCATGCATCCCAGCAGAGGAAAGGCAAGTTAATGCAAAGAGAAGAAATTTCCCTTCCAGGTTTTTCAAGCATTTAATTAATCATTTATTCTTTATACAAATCACCACACTTCAAAAAATGATTTGTAAAGGATGCATCAAGAGCACTGAATCATTTCTTGACCCGCACCTGCAATGCAATTGTTGAGTACCAAATCACAGAAAAGCAGTGAATGATTTGAGGAGAGGACACAAAGGAAAACATCAAACACACAAACACACATCTACATAAAAAGCAAGGGTGTGTGATTTGAAATGGTCTTTGTTTATTGCTAAATAAAATGTATTTTGCCTATGTGCAGATATAATTAGTTCTGGTGTTAGGCAGGTTATTTTTGCTGGCCAACAGCTGGAGAAAAGTGCATTGCACTCCATGTGGCAGGACAGCACACCACTCCATGCAGTGAATATTAACTGTATACATTTAACTGTGTAAATAAATGGGTTTGCATGAGCGAGGCAGAATGGATCGAGTTTGGGCTTAGCGCAAAAATTATGAAATCATACAAGTTTCACTTATTCTGCTAGCAATAGGTGGATAGCAAATGTGTTTTTACTTTCACAATAAGAAAACGTTTAGATCAGGGGTCTTTTGAAAGATGCTTGAATAAAACAAAGCATCTTACTGTATTGTTTAAATGGATAATACATGGTTTCAAAGTCACTCAGAGTTTGATTGTTAAAAATCTAAAGAATTTAAAGTCTATGCAAGATACCATGAGGTTCAAAAGTCTGAGACCACCCTAAAAATCTGTGATCCGGTCATCATAAGTTTAGAAATTTGCAGAAATATAAACCAAGAAATATTTCATACATAAAGATTTTGCACTATTTCTAGGTCACCGATAAAATTAGCAAATTTATGATACTGATCATGTGAACCCATTTGTGCAAAAGATAATATTTACTTCCACTGAAGCTCACAAAATGCTCTTTGGAACATTAATAAATGGGGGACATTTTGCCACACTAAGGCCACATACACACTACAGCCAAAATTGGTTGTCAATTATCTTTTTAGTGCATAATCCAGTTTTGTACACACAAAATTCAGTAATTTATGGGAGTGACAACCGCATTCCACATCCGAAATGACTCCCAAAAAACGCAGGTTGTGACATTGCAGTGTATACAGAACTAAACTGAACAACTAGTTGGTAACAATGTATTTAAACGCACATCAGAGTTATCTTTTCTGTATGTGTCATGCCAGAAATCACAGGATACACTTTGACCCATTAGTGCTGCCAGATCTTGCTAGAAAAAACAACAAATGAGAGTAAGCCTATAATAAACTCAAATCCAAATGTTTTATCTTGAACCAAGCCACATATCAAAATATAGCAACCTATACCTGCCTAGGTGGCCTTGTGCGTCTGTGAGAGAGACTGGGAGAAAGAAAGCGTGATTTCCGTAGCCTACATAAAAAAGGTGGAAGACATGGAAATAGTTTGTCATTTTTTACCCTATTGTTTGTTATATTTATTTGCTCAATGTCTTGAGCAATGCGTAAATCCGGCCCTGTTAGACGGCAATCGGAAGTTATTACAAACACTCGATGGTGGTTTAAAGTGAGTTTTGAGTAAAAGCGGAATATAAATCTTATTTATTGTCTTATGCATGATGCTACAGTTTGCATGAATGGTCACATAACACGCGCTTTCGGTCGTGTAACGTTAGTATCAGAGCTGTAGGCTCTGGTTAGTATGAACGGACATCTGCATATGATCGGAGCTCCACGCAGCTCCCGCGCTACTCTATACTGGTGTATTACAGTACCACGAGAGCTAAAGAGAGCAGACTGCTCCGTGTGCTTTCGAATCGCTCTCGCGGATGATCGATCTGCGCCGCGCCTCTAGTCGAACACACCGGCTAGTGCTGCAGGCTTATTGGCTCACTGACGCTGATGAGATTAACCCCTTAGGTATCGAAATTTGGTACCGAACGACAAGGTGTTTTTCGATACTCGATGGTATCGAGGCAATTCGGTCGGTGCCTAAAAAGTATCGAACTCGATACCCAGCCCTACCCATCATACAGGCACATGGTTTCTCCTACCATTGCTATGCTGATGACACACATCTCTATCTCTCATTTCAACCAGATGATCCAACGGTAGCTGCACAGATTTCAGACTGCCTGGCAGACATCTTGGCATGGATGAAAGAACATCATCTACAGCTCAACCTAGCAAAGACTGAGCTTCTTGTCTTCCCTACCACTCAAACTCTACAGCATGATTTCACCATCCAGTTAGGTTCATCAACAATTACCCCATCAAGTTCAATGAAATCTTGGTGTAATTTTCGATGACCATCTGGCTTTCGAAGACCACATTGCAAAAACTGCTCGATCTTGCATGTTTGCATTGCACAACATCAGAAAGATCAGGCCCTTCCTAACGGAGCATGCTACACAACTTCTTGTCCAGGCCCTTGACTCGTGGTACCATCACAGAGAGGCACAAAATCACTTTCCAGAACATTTTCATTCACCGTTCCTGGCTGATGGAATGAACTTCCCACCCCTATACGGAATGCTGAATCCCTGACAATTTTCAAGCAACACCTGAAAACTAATCTCTTTCGTCACTATTTGACTTCATCTTAAAAAAAAAAAAAAACTTTGCTTTCTCTTTCCTTAATCTCTCCCTGTCTAGCTTGTACTACTCTGAACAATGCCTGAAACTTTGTATTGCAAGCACTTCCTGCGTTTATTTGCCTCTTTATGATGAATTGCTTATTGTATTCCTCAATTGTAAGTTGCTTTGGATAAAAGCGTCTGCAAAATTAATAATTGTAAATGTAATCAACTGGATCACTTTATGACCAGAGCCCAAAACAACAAGTCCAAAGAAGCTTAATAAGCTTCGCTTATTGTAAGTGGACATGGCAACTCTTAATGAGCGAGCTCTACGAAGCAGTCTTTAATACATAAAACACGACGGCTCTGCCGACGTTGGTTTAGTTAAAATAGGCAAACCAAACGTAATGAGTCTTTGGTCACTGTAATACTTTTGTTAAAAATACCAGACACCAAACACGCAAGATGAAACTTGTGTATGTGGTCCAAGTTGTCACAACAGAAAAAAATCCATTAAAAAAACCTATTACAAGCTTTTCAGCAACATCTAAACAGTAAAATAATATTGAAATACCCTTGACCCGAGAAGAGTTTAATCTTTTTATAAAAATCTACCTATTACAAAAGTATGATATAGTAATTTTAGTTTGGATGACAGAATTCAAAGTTATTCTAATTAAAGGCAGTTTTTATTTATATGTTCAAAGGGAAAAACAGCCTTTGTGATAATTTCCCCCCAACCTGCTACAGTATCCCCCATCAAATGAAAAAAAAAAAAATTTTATCTAGTGGTCTCAGACTTTGGACCCCAAGCTATGGGATGGAATAAGATCACAGTGAAATGTGGAAAAATCACGTAGCCATATAGATGCTCAGATCAAAATAATATACAAGTGCAGATTAAGCTCTTTCTTAGGATATGATCATTCCGAAAGGCGCCTACATTGGAGCTGCAAATTACAAAGATCTTGGATGGGTGGAGCTACTTATCTGGTTTGTAACTAGAGTATATTAAGGCTGTAGTTCTCTCACATCAGTCGTTAATACCTCCACCATTCATATTTTTTATATTCAGCTAATAAGAATTTGGGAAAAATGTATTACTAAGTGTCAAAAATTCAATATATGCTTTTAAAGGCATAAAACAGCTACAAAAGAATGGTGTGGAGCTGTCAAAGACTGGCATGAGCGCCACAGCATCAGAGGGGTGGTGGGGGAGTGGACCTTCACCTTTTGTTTGGACTGCGAGGGGCTGGGACTGGGTTCACGCGGCGGAGGCGGAGCATTATTGGCTGCCGCCCGCCGCATCTCCTCCTCATGCTGCTGGATCTGCTGCTGAATGAGAATGAGCTCGCTGAGCAGCCCCTGCTGAGGGACGGCACAGTGACAGAGACGGGCAGTCAATCAACCTGCTTGCCAACTAATAGGAGGATATGGCAGAGCTTTTGGGAAATGGTCTGCCTCACTTTAATATACTGCTCTTGGTAATATGTAGTTTTGAATCTAACTCAGTTATGATGAACCTAAAATCTTGAAGAGCATAAGAAAATATTTATTCACACTAATAATGTTGAATCACATTCAAGACTTGCACTCACAGTCAGTATTGTCAAGCTGCTATAATTGCAGTAAAGGCAATCCTAATAGTTTTTAATAGATGAATTATGATCACATAAAACTACTGCTATTAATGAAAGCAGGAATTTGAGGTACAATGAGTGATTTAGTTGCAGAGCAGTGCAAAGCCTGAAGCTGGAGAGAGCAAATATTACAAGACATGTCTTTCAAAAACATGCTGCTTCTGTACATTGGTATTACCGTATTGGCCCAAATATAAGATGACCCTGTTTAAAAAATGAAAATGTATTTTCAATTATTAATTATCAAATTCATTTATCTTTATAATAATGGTCCTTAACATAGGCTTCATTTTTGTTCTTTTGTTCTTCTTCTTCTTCTTTTTTTTTTGAGATTTTAATGACAATTTCATCTGCATTTCACATGACTGTGATTCAAAAATAGACATTAAAATTAAATAAATAAAATGTAGTACCGTATTGGCCCGAATATAAGATGACCCTGATTATAAGACGACCCCCCCTTTTTCCAGATGTACCTTTTGGAAAAAGGCTTTTTAAAAACCAAATCTTGTTTTTTCTCAGTAAAACACATTTTGTCTTCAATTATTTTCATATTGCATATTTTTCCTATTTTAATTTTTGTTTTGAAAGTATGGTAAAAACTGGTAAAATGTACCAACAATCACATTTAAAAAATATACACTTTTTGATATACCATTTAAAAAAAAAAAAACGGGTAGCCCATCTGAATTAGGACATTTAGGCTATCCATCTAATAGTAGCCTACCAAAATCTTATTAACAGTAGAAGTTAAATCTTACTGTAGTCTTCAAATCTGGGTACTGTCTTACGTTTTAAAATCACAAAGAAAGTTTGGTCCCATCATGCTAACGTGACAGTCAGGATTCATGCAGCTGTAAGGTTTTCTTTTTCTTTTGTTTTTACTCGCGATCTTTACAACACGCATTACATTACGTATTTCATGGCACACTCGTTTTATGCTTATTTGGCGCCACCTACTGTTGTGGGTGTATTATTGACATGTCAAAGTCTAGACCCTGAATATAAGACGACCCCGTTTTTTCAGATGTATTTCCAAGAAAAAACATTGTCTTATATTCGGGTCAATACGGTAATTTGATTTCATAATTTTGTCTTACATTACATACGCAAATACATCTTTTATGCTTTAAGCTTCATTTATTTGATTAAAATATTGTACAACTATTATTAATAGGGCAGTAGCTGTATTATCAATATGATATCTTGTCTTGATATCGTGGTCACATGACGATATGAAATGATAGGTCTTCCAGGCAAAAAGTGTAGTTTTTAAAATATATTTAAACTTCTTATTCTAACATAAAAGTTCTTTAAAGTTGTGTTTTGGGCCATTATGCTTTGGCACAGTATCTGTCAAACGAAATAAAACTGAAAGCACAATATGGCTTATTCCCTTCATCAAGTCGCTGCGCGTTTTAAAGCGAAGCGAGCACTTCATTCAGGTGATCAGCTCGTGATCTGTTCACTGATCACAGTGAATGCAGTGAACTCGTTTATTGCATGTGCTCCGAGTTTAGTGCGCATTTGGGAACGCAACAGCCACCAGTTATGCTTTATTTTCGCGGCAGATGATTTCACTAGATTTGTAGTGAGATGCGTTTTTGCAAGCCTGTTGTCACTGAAGCTGGAGTTTTCCTTCAAAATAAAAACTCTACTCTTCCGTTTCCATCAAAATAAAAGCTTTTATTTTGAATTACTGACAGCTAGCGGTTTAAATGGGTAACGTTACTGCAGTGCAAATTCAAAATATCTCTTTCAAGTGTAGAAATTAGGACGAGGATTCTTCTTTTTAAGGGGGGGGCAGTGTGATGTTGCTATAAATGTTGGAGGACCTTTGTTAACGTCAGGATGTTAAGCAATGTTCATTTTAGCAATAACTGGTTATAGCTGTTAGTCTGTGTTCACTTTAAGGGGCGGGGATAGTCCGGTGCGGCTGGAGGATGGGCTAGAGAGAGAGTTCAGAGTTAGTTGGGAGAGTAAGGGCACAGAGCAGCGGGTGCTATTCTTCCTTGTTTTCTTCCTGTTCCTTCGGTGTACGGCGTGGGTTACGGCCATAACAGTAACCCTCCTTCAGTGCTTTAAATAAAGTTATAGAGCGACTGAGAACGTCTGGTTCATTAGTAGCGAAACGCTACAATATATTTAAACTTCTTATTCTAACATAAAAGGTCTTTAAAGTTGTGTTTTGGGCCATTATGCTTTGGCACAGTATCTGTCAAACGAAATAAAACTGAAAGCACAATATGGCTTATTCCCTTCATCAAGTCGCTGCGCGTTTTAAAGCGAAGCGAGCACTTCATTCAGGTGATCAGCTCGTGATCTGTTCACTGATCACAGTGAATGCAGTGAACTCGTTTATTGCATGTGCTCCGAGTTTAGTGCGCATTTGGGAACGCAACAGCCACCAGTTATGCTTTATTTTCGCGGCAGATGATTTCACTAGATTTGTAGTGAGATGCGTTTTTGCAAGCCTGTTGTCACTGAAGCTGGAGTTTTCCTTCAAAATAAAAACTCTACTCTTCCGTTTCCATCAAAATAAAAGCTTTTATTTTGAATTACTGACAGCTAGCGGTTTAAATGGGTAACGTTACTGCAGTGCAAATTCAAAATATCTCTTTCAAGTGTAGAAATTAGGAAAGAAGTATTGTAATTTCCCTACTGTAGTGTAAAGCAAAAATATTATACCTATGAAATTCATTTTCATTTATTTTACAGTGCAACTGTTTTACAATATATGGCTAATACTGTCATAGGAATAATAATATAAAATTATTATTATTATTATTCTATTCTAATTTGTTTGGCTTCCTAAAGCACCAGTGTGAATGTAATTTAGACTGAGACAGTATATCACAACTAAAAAGAAGGTTGAGTCACTTTTAAAGATCAGGTACAAGTCAAATCACTTGTACTTTTTTCTTAGTTAAGTTATCTTAGCTAAGAACATGGGTTTGGAGCTCCTTATTTCTGAACTCTCAAAGTGCATTAGATAGAATAATTTAACGTTAAAATATAAAAAAAATAAAAAAAAATTTCCAAGTCTTCTTTTGTCTTTTTTTTAAAAATATTGCAAAAAATATCGAACCGTGGACTTCATATCGAGATATTATTGTATCGTGAGATTTTGATATTGTTACATCCCTAATTATTACACTTTATAATAACTGTTTTCAACATTTAAAAATGTAATTTATTCCTGTAATGGCAAAGCTGATTTTTTTTTAGCAGCCAAGGATCATTTGTGTATTAAATGATCCTTCATCACACAGATTACAAATTCAATAATTTTAATATGCTAATTAGGTGCTCAAGAAACATTTCTTATTTTTAATGTTTATTTAATGTAATTTTAAAACAGCTGGGCTGCTTAATATTTTGGCGGAAACCATGCATTTATGATTCTTTGATGAACAGAAAGTTGAAAAGAACAGTATTTATTTGAAAAAGAAATCTTTTGTAACATTATAAACATCTTTACTGTCACGCACAGGTATAATCAATTTAATGCATCCTTGCTGAACAGAAGTTTAAATACGCTAATATGCAAATAAAATATGCTAATATGAAAAACTTAAACTAGTGCTACTCTAAACTGAAGTGTTTAGTTTCACTGCAGACAATGAGGGATTTATGAGTGAGGAAACAGAAAATGAGAAGAAGAAAAAAACAAAACTGACATCAAACATTAAAATATCAAGGAGTGAATTGCTCTCAGAGAAGCAATATTTTTAGAGAAAGTGTAATGATCATGACGGACAAACACGCAGCTGAAAAAGACAGAACTTAATCTCCTGCAACAAGAGTTTTAATGCAGTTGCAGGACAAAATATGTGAACCTACTGCTGGGATACAAACATATCTCTAATAGCCTTGATGCTCATCTGTCATTGGTTCATCATGTAAATAGAGAAAAGGAGACATCTGCCCTTTAGTGTACACTGAGAGAGACATTTCTTTCAAAGAATGTGAATATATCCAAAAGAGGTAAATTATCAAGAGCAACATGCAGACTAGAGCACTGCTCACAAATAATAATAATTTTTAAAAAAGCACAGGTGCACTATATGGACAAAATTTTCTGTTCCAGTATGACAGTACACATATTTTTTGGCCAAGCGTATTTTCATTTGTTATGGTGGGGGACAGCTTAATAAAAAGCAGCTTCACTTCAGCATTAGCCAGTTGCAACAAGCTACTAAAACAGTGTCCATATTTAGCAGGACTACAAAAGTGCACGATAGCCATTGACCAATGGTGACTATCTTTTGCAGTAAATTTTCAAAACAAATGCACAGCAGTTAGCAACTTAGTTAATGCTGAAAAAAGCCCAAGCAACACAGCTAAGCAGATAAATGCAGGTAAAGAAACTTAAGCTGCCTTAATTATTATAATGGCTGGAAATACAAAAGGATCAAAAGGATCGTCATATATCATGGGTAAGCTTAAGCATTCAGAAAACAGAGTAATTTACCTTCTTAAACTGTTTATCACTACTGTCAGACATGGCTGCAGAAGTTGGTGGGATATCTGTTGCTCTCAGGGTTGATTCACCTGTGGTTTCTGGGTGGGAAAAAACATGCAAATGCAAATTGTTTTTCCCCTTCTTGAAACACACATTTAGAAGAAGAATTGCATGTCAAGTGACAATAAAAATTTGCATGCAAAAGCATATTATTAGCTTGCATTTTAAAGTAATTACATTATGTCACCATATCCCAAAGAGACTCAAAGGTTTGAAAAGTAAATGGCGCATAAATGCTTGATAAATAGTTTGTAAATAATAGGCACACTTTTAGAAGACCATATAATAGAATGTAATATCATAGTTTTGTAGTGTGGTGATGAGAAAATATGTGTAATCTGCTATAGAAATCATGAACATTATATAAAATGCAGGTGTAAACAATCACTCCTTGTCTAAGATGCTAAGAAGAAAATCAGATTAGATATTCAGTAAGTGTACTTTTCAAAACTCTTGAGCTGTAAGAACTTCAAACATATAGGATAAATTAGTCATGACAATGGAAAGAGAGAAAGAGACAAACACAGGGAATGGCCCACAAAATCTTAAGAGAAGAGAAGGTGAAGTCAAGGGACCAAGTGGTAAGACAATTAAAATCAGAGTAATCACACATTTACAGATGCTGTTAGTGTCTGGAACTGCATCTGTAACTGACCCATGTTAACCGAATGCTTTAGCATCCAATTTATTCTTGGCTAAATTATAAGAAGTCAAACTAATTAACACTTGAGTCTTTATAATCTAAATATAGTCTTTGTAATCTAAACTAAATATACACTAGCATTAAAACGTTTGTGGTCAGTAAGATTTTTTTTTGATTAATGCATTTAATTAGCAAAGTCGTATTAAATTGATCATAAGTGACAGTAGGCACATTTACATTGTTACAAAAAAAATCTCCTTTGAACTTTTTATTCATCAAAAAATGCAGAGTAAAAGTATCATAGTTTCCACAAAAGTATTAAGCAGCACAATCGTTTTCAATTGTGATAAGATATGTTTCTTGGGCACCAAATTAGCATATCATAATGACTTATGAAAGATCACATGACAATGAAAGCTTACCGACCCCAAACTTTTGAAAGCTAATGTAAACAGCAACACAACACTGTAACGCAGTGTAATTTATCTTTTCAAATTGAGTTTCTGTGACAAAGTAGCAGCTGACTAATAACATTATTATGATATTTTAGAGATCATTTCCTTTGATAAAGGGTTTTGCTGGTCCATCCTTAGAGGCGCACACCCCATCAACTTAAATCCATTTTACGTCAGTGCAGCAGCATAGGAGGAATCGGGGCACGCCAAGTGAGGCGTTTACACACCTAATAACAGACGCAGACCAGAAGCTCCATTGACTTCACTACCCAAACCTGTGAAGAACGTGAAGGGAGGGAGAGGAGGAGGGAGGAACAAGAGGAACAAATGAAATGAAAATAAAATAAAGACTGTAGAAAAAGCGTGAAGAGCTCATTCCATTGCACACTGGATTGGGTTTCTAACAGAAGAGCAGTGTCAGCACTGTATACTGAAAAATATGTTAATGCAAACAAATAACTCTGACTGATGTTAACAATCTTAAATCATATAATCATTAGGAAGATGCTGATTGTACATATACAGTATGAAAGTGATTATAAGCAGTGCACAGATGTTTTAAAACAGAATGTACAGAATATTCGAATTCATTCAGTTGATAGAAATCACAAGACCCCAAGGTTAGATTTAGTACCTTTCAGCTTTAGAAATCTTAACATTCACACACGCATTAACATAAACTGACATTTACGAAAAATAACATTGCAGTGCATTAAGTTTTTTTTTTTTTTTTGGGGGGGGGGATTCAAAATAGATAATACAAATCAAACTAAAAAGACACAACATTCACTTTAAACTTAATAAAGAGGGAAATTGGTTATATGGCCCAATTTTTTTTTATATTAAGAAATTGACACAACCATTCAAAAGTTTAAGGTCGGTAAAAAAATTTCATGTTTTTGAAAGAACTCCCTTATTCTCACCAAGGCTACATTTATTTGATCTTTTTATTTATTTGAGCAAAAAAAAAATAGTGACATTATTAAAATTTAAAATAACTTATTTCTATTTCAATTAATATTTTAAATTGTAATTCATTCCTGAGACTACAAAGGTAAATTTTCTTTAAGCAACTATTACTCGAGTGTTGAAAAACAGTAGTGCTGCTTTATTTTTGTGGAAACCATGATACATTTTTTCAGGATTCTTTGAAAAATAAAAAAGCTTAAATAAATTGTAACATTATAAATGCAGGGATTAAAGTTCCGTCGCTACGACGGATTTCCGTCAGTTCATAAAGACAGTCACTCGCTTCATTCCTGAATGATTCAGCCGTTCGAACTAATCAATTCAATGAATGATTCAGTGATAAAATCTGTGACTTGCCGCCACCTGCTGGCGGATTTAGTTTCATTTTTAGCGTATAATTTCAGTTATTTAAATCATATTTCTATATTCAAAATTTTATATTTAAAACATTAATCTCCACATGAATTTATTAATTTAATTGCACTCATGCGCGCGCCGGGAGAGCCAGCTGACAACGTTGATTGTCCTCTATTTGTTTTTCTTCTCTAGTCACGTTTGATCTCGAGAGTCTCTGTGAGATCACGAATGCAGGGATTAAAGTTCCGTCGCTACGACGGATTTCCGTCAGTTCATAAAGACAGTCACTCGCTTCATTCCTGAATGATTCAGCCGTTCGAACTAATCAATTCAATGAATGATTCAGTGATAAAATCTGTGACTTGCCGCCACCTGCTGGCGGATTTAGTTTCATTTTTAGCGTATAATTTCAGTTATTTAAATCATATTTCTATATTCAAAATTTTATATTTAAAACATTAATCTCCACATGAATTTATTAATTTAATTGCACTCATGCCACCTCTGAGCCTCATTAAACGTCTGAAAATGTACCTACAAGCCACTTTTGTGTTCTTCTGTGCCACCTCTGTAGTACAAATTAATACTAATTTCATATGATTGGTAACTTATTTGTCTTATTCTACTTCTTATTATATTGTTTTAAATAGAAATTTTAAAAAGCTTATAAACATAAATTTTTGAATTTTACAGATGAAAATGATGCCATTGCAAAGGTAAAAAGAAAATACTCCTGTAAGTCACTTTAAG